TATGAGAATGTGTTTAGTGTTCAAACTTTATGAAATTCTTGTAGGATGCTGCATGTATTAGTCTTACTTATAATCTCTGTATGCCATGTTTAAGGTAATATTTAAGTGTTTGCTAAAATTGCAAAATGCCAGAATCAGGGGAGAAGCATTACCAAGGGTGAAATACTAGTTTATCACAAGAGGTGTCATCTCCTCCCCAACAAGGAAGGCCTAAAGACATCAGACAAGCCACTGTGGAACATCAATGGACAAGACTTTGTTGATAGCTCCCGCCCCTCCTATGAACTAGAGACATGCACAAACCCTCATCCCATCAGCCTGAGCTCTGGGGGAAGGGGATAAAAATCCCTTGTAAGGATGCTGCCTTGGGTGGGACACTTCTGAGAGTATCAGTTCAGGACAAATTGCTTAGAGCAGGGCAGTTATAGTCCTAGGCTGGGGTTCCTTTACCATTAAGGCACACCAAACCAGCCAGACAGAGAGGACTTTGGTTTTACCCCACTGGCTAACCACAAGTCATACAAGCAATTCCCTTAGACACCCCAATTTCCCAGTAACACCACCAGTGCCACTCATTATGGGGCGAATGGTTATGAAAACCAATACCCCAGTAAAAGACAAAAGGTTCTCCCAATTGGAAAGGACCAAGCCCCCAGACCCAGGTCAATATACAAACCAGATTATACGGTCACAGTTTATGTCAATAATGTCACATCCCTGTCAAGAAAAATTGATATCACTATGCTGCTTGGAACTTGGAGAGGATAAAATTTTTAAGCATAAGCAGGGGATCCCCAAGCTGCTTAGCTTAGGTTAGACCGAATGGACATATAGCACTTGCATATTACAGCAGTGTCTATTAGTTTTTCAAACATAAGACTGTAACTCATTTGTGTATGTATGTTTACCTGCTTTCACCTTGTAAATAACTCATTTCTTTTTCCTAGCTAATAAATCTTGAGTTAGTTTATTACAGGATTGGCTACAAGTGTTGTCTTTGGTAAGAGATCTAAGGTACAGTTGACCTTTGGGACTTGGAGTAACTTGATTTTTGCTGTAAGGGACCATCTATCAAAAGGCATGCATGCATGGGTGGCAAGATAGACCAGAGTGACCAAGAGGACTGTCTGTGACTCCATGTTAAGGCTATTATAGTGCGTTGGGAGTTTACACTTGTTACTTGGCTGATTAAATTAATTATATAACATACAGCCAGTTTGGGGTTTATGTCCTGTTCCTTGACACTCTGCCCTGACTGCACCTGGCACTCAAGGTCATGAGCCACTCCAGACAGCGTGACAAGGACGACAAAGGGAGATAAGGGAAAGATGCAGATTTTTAATAAATTGCTCATATTTTTAGACATTGCAGTTTTTCTTCTTCTACTCAGGGCCGGCTCCAGGCACCAGCCGACCAAGCACGTGCTTGGGGCAGCACCTGGTAAGGGGCGGCCAATCTTGGGGTGGCGGGGGGGCACTCAGGGTGTTTTTGGCAGGGGTTCGGTCGGGTGGCGCTGGGAGGTGGGGTGGGTTGTTTTTGTTTTGGTGGCTGGGCGCGCGGGGGGCTTGGG